AGGAACTTTCCATTGCATTTCCAGATTTCTGTGGCACCATGTTTTTCTCTGCGTTATTCCACTTTCATGGTTTGGCCCTTGCAACGTCATGTTAGAAGCTAGTCAGAATTTTCTGCTTCATGCTGACTTTTTTAGGTGCTCTGTACTCCAGTTGTGGACTGTAATCGATCTGAAGCATTGCAGTGTGACTTGCTAGGTTGGCAGCTGTACATCTTGAGATCAACTGGTCAGAGGTATGTAAGACAGAGTGCTCCCCAAATAGAGTTCATTTGAAAACATCTGGATCATTGTTTGTCCAAAGCTAAAGAAAATATAATGAGCCAAAAGAACCATAGAATCATAGAATCATTAAGGTTGGAAGGGACCTCTAGAGATCATCTAGTTCAACCCCCCTGCACACGCAGGGTCACCTAGAGCACGTGGCACAGGACTGCGTCCAAGCGGGTTTTGAAGATCTCCAGAGAAGGAGACTCCACAACCTCTCTTGGCAACCTGTTCCAGTGCTCCTTCACCCTCACTGGCTAATCAGAGATAGCCAGTAGCATTGTGCCAAGGGACCAGAAACAGAAAATCTAATTTTCTATATGAAATTACTGAGTGTCCATAAGCCCAGAATGACTTGACGTAAGTCCAAATTTTTTCCCTTTGTCATGGGAGGAGATACTTGCTCTGGAGTTCTGTCCCTCAATTATGTCTACATGGTGTCTTCTTAGAGCCTGGTAGCTTGTGTTTGAGATAATAGGCCTTGAGAAGGGACCAAGCAGGTAGGTGAGAATGTGTTCCAGGGCTCAGTGATGCCAAACACTATGTCCATTTTTCTGAGGTGACAGATCCCCAAAAGGGATGAGAAGAGGATTAGAAAAGAGAAAATTCATATATCCCACTAGTTCTGGATGAAAAGAAATATAGCTCTGCAAAAGTACTGCCAGAGGAAGAGGAATGGCTGGCTAAGTGACATGTGTTGGAGGCTCTTTACTTTTGAAAGGTCCTCTTTAGCAGGACTTGCTGAATGGGCAGTACCTGGGTCACTGTGAATCTCTGATATGGAGCCAAGGAGAGTCTAGAGGTGGTCTTCTTCCCAGAATCCCATGGGAACACCCTAAGTAAAGCATAGTTTCTTATGAGAGGAGTCATTGGACAAAGCCTCATGCTTTACAGCACTAAAATGAAAGTGACCTCCATGTGACAGTCCTCTGCAGACTGTTGCATACCTCAGAAGACGCCTGAAATAGACATAAATAGCAGTGTTGGGTGCTGACTAAAAGTCTGGACTGAAAGGGCAGTTATTTCTTCTCTGAAGTGAATTTGCAGCATTTGTGGACACGGTAAAGAGTGCTGCAGTCGTATTTGTCAGCTAGCACCTTATCTGTATCTGTAGATAAGTGTATAAGTCTGTTTTTGTGCAAAAGGCCTCCAGATTCTTCTGAGGAGGAGGATAGGATGCTGCTGAATACTCTTTGGACATCCACAGCTACCTGTGGGGATGGCGTGCATCAGTATCCTTGGCCCGTATCTAGTTAAGAGATGTTTTTGATGCTGCCAGATGTGGCTTTGCAACACAGAGACGGGGACCAACTACAAAATCCAACAAGCTAAGGTTGCTTTCTGACTCACTTCCCTTTTTCAGAGTTCATGCCATGCATTTTAGCATGAAGAATATGCTACAGTCTCCCAAATGTCCCAAGGCTGCACTGGATTTTCTCAAGAGCAGAGAGGTATCCAAGAGCTGAAGGCATTCAAGGGATAGCAGAAGCATCAGGTGGAAATTTTCTGTCATAGTGGCCCTGATATTGAGGTGATTGAGTCAGTTTTCTGAACTAAAGTACTTGAGTATGTGACCATGCAGCACTGTCTGCTGCATGAGTGGAAGATAAGGAAGGGGGCAGAGGGAAGGGGAGAACATATTGTCTGAGTGAGGGTCTGAGGAAAAACTGTCCTCTTCTATCTGTGGGGATGCCCTGTGTTCTCCCCCTGGTATCAGTGACAGAAGCTATGCTTGTCTTTTCTGGGCTCAGTCATGTTAAAAGATTCCCTTGACTCAGGCATAAGCTGAAAAAAAGCTGAGGAACACTCTAATAGGAGCTGAACCTAGATCTGAGAGTGAAACTCCCAAAATATGGCCTGTTCTTGCAGGGTGAGAAAGGGCCCTACTATCCACAGGGCCCAGGAAGGCAAGAAACTCTGGTGCTTGATGTTGGCGTAGTGCCGACGTGTGCTCTATATGCGTGAGGCCTCACAGAGTTGGCCAGCAAACAAGTCCTCTGAAAGAGCCATCAGTGCCAGGCCTGGGGAATGGAATCAGGACAGACTGGGAGGATGATGCTGACAGAACAGTCTTAACATGGAGTTAAGTCAGAGCACACAGGCTCCCCACAGATTGCACACAAACCCCTTT